TGACGATGCCCTAGTCCGCACGAAATTTAGCTTTTAAATTAACAGTCCTTTATTCCTCGTGAACTGTTGGAGGTACAGTAATGAAATTTTGCATGCCTAATGAAAGGCTCTATTGGAATACCGGAAAAATTCGACTTTGTTCGAGAATGCGTTGCATCCTGGCCTGTAAAAATTAGGTATTAGTTTGCCATGAATTGTTCGGCGAAGCCTTTGTATCCCTAGTACTGAGCTAGCTGGCGAAGTTGCAACTGCAGTAGAAAACGGGCTAAAAACTTAAAATATTGAACTTAAATTCTCTGAAAAGATCGCATGGATTTTCCGAAATCAACTTTTAGTTCACTTTCTTTTCATTCTGTGTCGTACGCACAAACAAAACTTAGGATCGTAATTTCAAGTCGGAAAATGTCGTAATCCGAAATTTTTTTAAATGTCATGCTTTTTGTGGATCATAATTAATTTTTGCGTGAACGTGTCACTTCGCTGGTTGGGCGCTGTGGCAGCTTATACTCGCCGATTGTCAAGTACATGGGTTATGATCACTTTTCAAGTTAATGACCATTTGGTTCATTTAGTGGCAAGACATTTTTTATTTACAAGCAATACATTACAAAAGAAAATTATCATGTCTTCTCAATTTACCGCCGACTGTCACGGCGCTTATACTGGATTTAGGCTTGATTCGAGGAGCACAGCGCGACAGCGCCGGCTGTAGGCATCGCGGAAGCAGCGTAAAAGCAGCCTCGCGGATATCTTCTTGCATTATGAACATCGTGATAATGGTTGCCAGCGGATTTAAGTTACAACTAATTCCTGTATAGGCTGTAAAAAATGCCATGAATTCCGACAGATGACCACTGCTGATAAGACGCGTACACATTGGGATCACGTAGAGAACCACTGTAAGTACACAAGAAACGCACATAGTGGTAGTCAACTTCAACTGCCGTCGTCCGAATGAAACAACTGCTGCTGAGACCTGCAAAAATGGTACCATTGGAAGCATATACCGCCTATTTGAGCTAGACTATAACGAAACCAGAAGGTTGTGCCTTATTTATTTTCACATCTGAGAGTGTACCTCGAGAGAGCCACCATCCACAGGAAAATTATGGATGGTTCCATCGGATGGTTAATTCGTAGCAACCCGGTCAGACCTGAATGCTTTATTGGTAGAAAATGAATGGATTAGAAGGGAAAGGCGGAGCAGAAGGGTTGCTTGAGGCAGTCTGATTGATAGTTCTGGCTCCATTTCACGAAATTAATCAGCGATTTTTGGAAACAATCCTTCTTATATTGGTTTGCTCGGTCGTTTAATTTTAATCTTGACGGAGGTTTCACTGGCAATTACGTTAAGCTCAAGTCAGTCTCAGCCATCATGCAATAACAGAATGA